GAAACTGATCAGTTTCAGCAGCGGCTGACGCCAGTTCTGACTTACATACAGATTCAACTTAAGAACAAACCTACAGTCCCTATCTTGTACGTAACCCGGGGACTGCCTGTACTGTTTCCAGTTCTGGATACCACATTTCAGGAAAGATGTGAACAAATTGGACAAAGTCCAGAGAAGAGCAACAAAAATGATTAAAGGCCTAGAAAACATGACCTATCACTATGAGGACGCCAGTTCTGACTTACATACAGATTCAACTTAAGAACAAACCTACAGTCCCTATCTTGTACGTAACCCGGGGACTGCCTGTACTGTTTCCAGTTCTGGATACCACATTTCAGGAAAGATGTGAACAAATTGGACAAAGTCCAGAGAAGAGCAACAAAAATGATTAAAGGCCTAGAAAACATGACCTATCACTATGAGTGAAGATTTGGGGGGGGGAGGGGAGAAATGGGTTTGTTTAGTCTGGAAAAGAGAAGACTAAGGGGGAAGATAACAATTTTCAAGGCTGATATAAGGATGGGGGAAGAAAAATTGTTCTTAACTTCTAAGGATAAGACAAGAAACAATGGGCTTAACTTGCAGCAAGAGTGGTTTAGATTGGACATTAGGAAAAAGTTCCTTGCAGGGTGATCAACCACTAGAATAAATTGCCAAGGAGGGAGTTAAACAAACACAGATCATGGATGGTGTAAGTCACTGTTTCTCAACCAGTGGTACAAGTACTCTAAGGGGTACTTGACAGAACTCTGCGGAGTATGTCAACACAACTGAAATTTGGAGAAAACTGAATTTTTGTTTTCAGTTTTATAGTGTTTTATTATTTTTGTACTTTTTACACCCAAAAATTTCTTCGCCGCCCAGCTACGATTAAGTTGTTTAAACAAATGTGTTGCAATGGTAGAAAAAAATGTGTCTGAAAACTGTAGGTATTGGGCGTACTTATATTTTTTTAAAGGGGGTAATTTATACAAAAGGGTTGAGAAACACTGGTGTAAGTAATACATGGCAACCCCGCTGCCAGGAGGGCAGGGGACTGGACTTTACGACCTCTTGAGTTTGAGTCTGTGAATCCGGTGGGGAACTCGCCGGGGACGGGAAGGGATTCCAGGCCGAACGGTACCGGGCGGTGGGAGCACACACCAGCAAAGCTGTGCAGGTCAGACCCTGCCTCACTGCGAATCAAGCCCGTTACTGCATGTCCTACCTGCAGAGAACCATTGATCCCCACTTTCTTTGGCTACGTCTGGACTGCAAGCCTCTTTCGAAAAAGAGCGTCTAGACTGCAAGCAGTACTTTTGAAAAGCAAGCCGCTTTTTCGAAAGAGAGCACCCAGCGAGTCTGGATGCTCTCTTTCGAAGACGGCCTCTTTACATTGAAGAACGCCTTCTTTCGAAAGAGGAACTTTCGAAAGAAGGCGTTCTTCCTCGTAAATTGAGGTTTACCGCCATCGAAAGAAAAGCCGCGTTCTTTCGAAATAATTTTGAAAGAACGCGGCTTGAGTCTGGACGCAGGGGAAGTTCTTTTGAAAAAAGGCTACTTTTTTCGAAAGAACCCCTGAGTCTGGACACAGCCTGGGGGAGGGGGGAAGAGCCCTGCAGCGCGAGAGCCGGGAGATCACTGGCCCATGGGCCCCCACCAGCGGGGACAGGATCTGAACATGGCAACCGGGTCCCGGCCAGCTCTTTACATCGCTCCCCGCTGGCTTCTGCTGCAGCTCAGCAGGGCA